TGGATGTTGTGCAAGTCAGTGTGCAGAATAATAATCCATAAAAGGATTGTATGTTAAGTCAAACTCTGTATCTGATTCATTTTTGAGATATGAATTATTTTTTAGAACAATGCATATTTCCAGAGTTTGGTCTGCTGTTCTTCTAAAGAAAAGATTACATGTGAACTCTGCTGCTTATCTGAAGGTAGTGGAACCAATGAGGTGGTTTTGATCATTTTGAGGACAGAGTCTTGAAAGATTTCATCTTTGTTTTATTAGGAAATAAGCCTTGCAGTCTATATTAACCATATTTCCACTGAACAGGTTTTTTGGTACATTCATCTTCATAAAAATAAAAATTTAATGGTAAAGACATTTTAACTGTGCTTGTAGCCTGCATCAGAACAATACCATTTAAGTTGCCTAATAATCTGTCCTGTGGCAGAAACTCATGATGCTGCAATGTACAGATAGTCTTGGATAGTAATGTCATATAAATCGAAGACCTTGTTGCTGAATGACTCAAGAGGCAGATTCTTCTGGCTGCACGTGTAGTTGCATCACAGTAAAGACGCCAAAGGTTTTCCATTGTTACCTGTTCCCACCAGCACAGGATGCTCAATTAAGAACTCTGGTCAAAGAAATGAACTCTAAAATACTCTCATTATATCCTGAAAGATGACATCTTTGATGAATGTAATTATTGTCAGAGGTGCAAAGGGATAATAGTGGTGGTTTCCCTGTTTTTCGTGTCTTGCCCACCTAGTTCCAGAAGACCAGGTCAGCCTCCTCGTGCTCCATATGGATCATCCCAAACCTTCCAGTGATATCCTTTGACCTGAATATTCCCTTCTTATTCTTGTGGTTTGGAGAGCCACGCCCATAGCACCTTGAGCATCCAATCAACTACAAGAGACTTTGGCTACCAACCAATCAGCATGGCCAGAGATGAAGTACTGAGGAAGCAAAGCAACAAAAGCGTGCTGAGTAAGAAATAGTTCCCCAGAAATAGAGGGTGAAGAAGAGACTTACTAGTTGCACCCAGGACCAGCCAGGCAAAAAGAAGCAGAAGTACAGGCTGAGGAATACAACTACAGCAATGGAAAGAGGTACCAAAGAAGAATATAGGCTGGTAGCAAATCCCTTACTTTCCTCTTAGGGCTGAGATGGCAATCTGGTGCCTTATTGAGGTTTTGAATTTCCTCTGTCTTCATGCCCGGGCAGCATGGCCAGTG